CGGCTCCAGGCGCTTCTGGTTCCTCTCTGCCTTCTCCTCGTCGTCCTCCGCCTGGTCTCCATCTTCCCCCTCTGCCAGCACATCGATTTCAACCTCATCCCGGTCGGAGCTTGGGGGACTGAGCTGCGGAGTGGAGAGAAGGTGCCCGGCTCTTGCCAAGTTCATGGAGACTGGGAGGGAGAGGAGGGGTGGGACGTGGTGGCAGCTCACCTGGTTTGGGGTGGGTGGGTTAGCTGGGATGAATCTTCCAGGAAGCTGGAGCGTTCCTGAGTCAGGCTTCCTTGTTCCTTCTGTTTCTTGTTCCAACACCACGTAGCAAGGTGCACTTAGTGTTCTAAGTTTCTCTGAGACGTATGTGATGGGCTTTCCGCTATATATCCTTCTTCCCGGTTCCTCGGAGGGAGGAGTGAAGCCACTTCCTCCTGACGCAGTCCAATGATGAGGGTTCTCGGTCCGCTCTTCTACCTCAACCCACCCACTACCAAGGAGGATGCTCTGGTCTTGGTTTAACCAGCCAAAGTGCTCTGGCATTGTCTGGGCTTGGTTAATTTTGCTCTAAAACTAAACAAGTAAAAAGCAGGGAGGGAAACATGAAATCCAAAAACCTGTGACCACATGGACACTCAGACCTCTGAGTACCACTGCTTTGGCGCAGTGCTCAGAGGGTAAAGGAATGTCTCTCAAACAGAATGGCTCACCGACTTAATGCTATATGCCCTGTTCGAGAGAAATGGCTCCTGGCCTCCACAAAAGCATCACCAAATGTTCTCCCTACCTCGATTTCTCTAATGCTTAAAACACTTTAGCATTAAACTGTGGAAATTCAGTGTGAATTTTAAACGGTCAATAAAAGAGTATTTCCTTAGTCTCTTTACAGCCCTGATTCTCCAACTTCTTTTCATATTTAGCCAGAGAAACAAAGGTGGATATTATCTTCTACAGACAGGTATGCCTAGAAGAGGCTTCAGAAAGCAACATCCTTCACCCCCAATGACAACTGATACTTTTTTTCTTAATAGTCTTGACCAACTACATTGGTTTCATCATAAAAAGCACTGTTGCCCCCAAAGTAGTCCTATAAATAAAGGAATTCCCCCAGTGTATGGGTCTGCCTGCCTGTCCTTACCCGCCACCCCCAACATCCATCCAGAAACACGAAACAGGGAAACGCTGGGCTTCAGCTTTCCTGCCCCTAGATACACCGGGGTCCATCGAGAAACATCCACACTGCAGGGCAGGACGGCAGCCCAGAACTCACTTGAAGGCTTTTAGATTGATTTCATGTACTTAACCCAGCAACTAAAGCATCAATGTGGTAGCATGTGTTTGTTATATAGAGACTGAAGACAAAATCCACCACCATGGAACATATTGGGGAATTCCAGAGGTGGAATCTAATAAAACACAATATGAAGGGATGTTTCTCCTTTTGGAGAACAGCTCCCTTGAAAGCCTTGGAGCTAAGCTTTATACCCTGTGGAGGTCTTTACCCTCCAAGGCTTTCTATTTTGTGAGGCTTGAGGTAGGACAAACAAACAGATCTGAGCCTGACAGATTTGCTTTTGAATCTAAAATTGACCAAGGACTATTTGTGTGATTCTAAACTGCAGGAGGGCCAGGCAGGTGTCTCATTCAATCTGATACCCCCAGATGCTGCCCTCACCCCCTGCTGGGGGCATGTAGTGCCCCTCTGTGATTACCTGAGAGAAAGAGTATTGTTGGTTTTCTTAAAGTCAACTTCTGTGGGGATTTGTGTTATTTACAAATGAAAGGGTGTAAGGATATGCTCAAAACCAAAACAAAAACCCCACATTGTGGGTGGATCTCAAAGGTGACACAGGAATCAACTAAAGAGCTCCCTGTGGCCAAAGCTGGGGCAATCTGCAACCGAGCACGGTAGCTGGGTTATAAGTTGTCAAATAAGTATTTGTGTGTCCACGTTGCTAAAAAAAATGAAATCTCTCTTTCAGAATTTCAAATAACTTATGGAGCTATTCGAGAAGGCGTCTAATTCCCAACTACTCTCTGTGTGGGCTGCCCATGTGATTTTTCTCCCACAAAGTACAATAGAAAGAGGGAAAGAGTAGCCTTTCTTATGGAGAAATCTAATCAAACTTCAGCCAGGGGAGGAAAACCAGCATCAGCTACCATGCAGCTTGTTGATGTGTGGCTACTTGATGTGATGAAAATGTCACTCCCATTTCAATGACCGTCCCCCAAATCCTAGCTACAAAGGCCAAGTCCCGATTGAAGAGCCAAGGGCGTGAAAAAAGGTATAGCTAAGGCACTGTCTCCAGGAATCCCAGAAGACTATTGAGTGCAATGTTCTATCCTGGATGGGATTCAATAGAAAAAGAATAAAGATGAGGTAAGGATTCCAAACAATCAGAGCCTGTATCAATGTTGGCTTACAACACTGTACCACTAGTACCACAGCATGGTGAGATGCTGGTGCATCTATAAATCTCAGCCTTTAACATACCCTAGGGCTGGGTATTGAATAATTCAGTTGGTGAAGTGCTTGCCTTGCATGCTCAAGGTCTTGAGTTATATCCCCAGAACTCACATAAAAATGCTAGGCATGGTGGCACACTTGTAATGCCAGGGCCAGGAAGGTAGAGATAGGCAGATCCCTGAGGGTACCTGGCCAGCTAACCTAGACTACTTGGAGAGTTTTGGGACAGAAAATAATAAAATAATAATAATAATAATAATAATAATAATAATAATGAGACATAGAAAAAAGAAAACAAAAGGAGGGGGCTGGCACCCAAAGAATAATGCCTGAGTTTGTCCTCTGGCTTCCACAAGTGCGTACACATACACAATACAATACAATTAATTCTTAAAACTTTAGCCAGTTCTGATGAATTAAGCCTATAACCTTACTCTAGAACAGCTAGGCCAGGAGGATTCCAAGTGTAAGACCTGCTAGGTCTATTAAGAGGGCATTTAAGACCAGCATGGGAAATTTAGGGAGCTGTCAGCTCAAAGTAGAAAGAGGGCTGCTGTACTGGTTAGTTTTTATTGTCTACTTGATACAACCTAGTCACCGGGGGAGAGGGAACCTCAACTGAAAGAGAATTGCTTTCATCAGATTGGCCAGTGGTCACATCTGTGAGAGATTGTCTTGACTGGTCACTCATTGTTGGCAGGTGGGCCTGGACTATGCAAGAAAGCAAGCTAAGCATAAGTTAGCAAGCGTTGTTCCTCCATGGTTCAATTCTGCTCCAAGTTCCTGCCTTGCCTCCCTGCCCTGACTTCACCCGGTGATGGACCTGGAAGGTAAGTTGAAATATACCCCTCCTTCCCCTAAGTCACTTTTGGTCAATGGTTTAAAACAGTGGCAGAGAGTTGTCTAGCACATATGAAGCCTTACATTCAGTTCTCCATCGTGCAAGGGCCTGGGAGTGATCATTAACAGAAGGACCTAAAAGCTCAAGTCTCTGTCAACTCATCATACACAGAGTCTGATGTAACCACACACTGGAATACTATTCAGCAATATGGAATGAAGTACTGATACATATTCATTCAGATGGGCCTGGAAGAATCATGCTAAATTAAAGGAGTTTGAATACACAACTCTTCAGAGAATAGTGTAAGGGACATGGGAAGTACTTGTTAAGAGACATGGGCTTCTTTGGATGGGAATTATAATGTTCTGCAATTAGATACCAGAAATAGTTAGCTAACTTGTGGACTTAGTGAAATCTGTGAACTGTATACTTTAGTAAAAATGTCAATTGTATGGGACTATGAATTGAATAAAACGAAGAGCTGTAGCAATGAAAACTAAGTTGAATGTCCTGGGGAAAGTCCCTTGTGGTTCCTCACACTGAAGAACAAAAGAAAGGACTCTCACTGTTCTACCTCATTGATGTTGCCTAAGCTTCAAGTCTTCCCTTTTCTTCCCTTTCCTTAGCTCCTGGACATTTGAAGTGAGCCCCAGACAGTGGAATTCAACAGTGCTTGGTGATCAACTCTCCAAAGACTAAACAGTTTTGCTGTTATTGTTTTCCCAGAACAAATACTAGTTTTAAAAAGCCTCATTCTGAGAAAACAACTTAGCATTTTAAGGGAGAATTCACTTTTTTCAACACCATGTTCACAAATATAAGGCATTTCTAGACATGGACAAGTCCTTTCAAAGCAATCTAAATATACAGTTTTTCCACCTAGGCTAGTAAGCTACAGGTTATAATTACCCAGTTCACACATTGCCACCAAGCCTATACTATCACAGATTATTGATCATCATTGCTTTAGCAGCTTTTATTTTGTTGATAATTACCTTTAAAATTGAGTCTAGGGATTATTGACTTATAAAATTTCTTATTTTTGGTTTGAATAATTTCCAACACTGGAGAATGAACCCCTTCTGCATGCTAAGCACACGCTCTGCTATGGAGTTATACCCTCAGACCCCCAAAGATTTTAAAATCCTTTTATATCATTCATATATATATATATAGATATTTTATACATTATATAATTGATATAATTCAGCAAAAGTCCACAAAAGAAATCTGGGTTTTCAAGAAGGGAAGATAATTAGGAACCCCCAAGTCATCTTAGATGAGTAATTTAGAGGGTCTTTTCTAGGTCATACATAGACAGCCACTCAGAGGGGAAACTAGAGGCATGAAGCTCCAAGGTCTGACCAAGCTGACTGTCGATCATCTCTGCCCCCACAACTGTGCCGACACTTCTGCAACTGTCTTAAAGTTGGTACCGATTTTCTCGTCCCCTTTTACTTAAAGCTGAAAAGGGCTCCCACAGGCCTGCTTAGATTATGTAGAGGCTAAATTGTACAGCAAACCTTGCTAGGAAATGGAAATTCACATTCACTTGGATCCTGTAGTCAGCATAATTGACATTTAATCGTTGGGACAATCCAGAGGAAATTGTGTGTTACCTCCACTTTATAAATAGGGACACAGGGGCTCACTGAAATGTAGTCTCTAGTCCTGTATCCCACAGTGAACTATAAAGTATTAGGTGAACCATATTTAAACCTTGATCACCATCATCAGAATATCCTGTGCTTGCCCACATTATTATTTTTATATGCAACCAAATTTCTTAGTTTATTAAGAATAAACAGTTTATTAAGAATAAGCCCCCTCTTCTGCACAAATCCCTGGGCCTTGAGAGGAGGAGTGTGATAGACATCCCATTTATCCAAAGTCTCTGTCTCTCTCTCTCTACATGTTAATCATGCTAATTATCTGTGTCAATTATCATCTACTAGGAGAAACTTCTCTGATGATGGTAGAGAAATATACTGATCTATGCATATAGCAAACAGAAAAAGGGGTTATTTTACTGCTATGTTCCTTTAGGAGAATGATAATAGCAGGTTTTCCCTAGGGCACAGTACCTATCTAGTCTCAGGTTCTTGGCCTTAATAACAGTGTCAGGTATGGATTCCAAATCATGGAATGGGCCTTGAGTTAAAAAAAAAAAAAAAGCTCTCCAATAACACTATTGCCACTGTTGCACCAGTGTAACTTGCAGGCAGGTCCTTA